CCCCCCCGGTGAAGCCCCCAGAAGCCGAGACCGGCGCCGGGCGGGGAACTGCCCCGGCAGATGCCCCCACCGCCGAGACACCAGGCGGCCCAGACGCATGGGCGCCTGCGCGGAAAGCCCTCCGCCCTGCAAGGGCCAGCCGTCCCAGGGGGCCCCCGGCCGGCCGGCCGGCCGGCCGGCCGAGTTCGCCGCCATGCAAGCATCCCGCGGCCCCGCGTGCCCCGGTCTTCGGTCTCCTCCGCGCGCCTGCCCCTTTCGGGGAGTCGCTACTTTCTCGCAGATCGCGGCCCCGCGGGAGGGGGCCTCGGCTGGTCAGGCCCGCGGCCATGATGGCGTCACAGCCGGGGGCCTGCGCCCGGTTGGCCCTCTCAGATGCTCAACAGGCGCCGAGCTTCGGGGCCCCTGGCCACGGCGGGCAGACCCCCCCCCCACACACACACAGGGTGGGGGCGGCGAGATCGGCGGAAGTGGGACGCGTGGGGCAGAAAAGAGCCCGCCCCCCTCTGCGCCGCCCCATTCATCGGGCCATGCCCCCCTCCCCCCCTCCCTGCCACACTCGTCCTCCCCTTTGACCTCCTCCGCGCGCTACCTACCCGCCCCCCGCCCATGTCCTCGCGCCCGAGATACGCCTCCTCGAGCGTGGGCTCCCAAACGGAGACCATCCCCCCTGCCTCGGGGGGACACCCACGTCACAGCCCCGAGCCGGATGACATGGTCTTCCGGCTGCTCCACCTTGGAGTCCCTGACCGAGGCCCAAGCACGCCAGATGGCCACACCCGTGCCGGCTGCGCCGACCAGCCTGCCAATCAGGCCGCCTCCTCCGTCAGTGAGACCTCCCCTGTCCTGGTGGACTGCTCGCCCGCTCGGCCGCCCGCCCAGGCCAGCCGGTCGCCCTCCTCATCGCCCAGCCTGGAAAGTGCTTTCACGGGCCCCACCCGGGGACGGTCACCATCGGCGTTCCCCTTCGACGGGACGTCATCGCCGAGGGGCCGGAACTGGAGGGTGCACCTCGTGTCCCATCTCGGGGCTGCCACCATCCGCGTGCTTTTCTCTCGTATCAGCAGCCGCGGTGGTGGCTCTGCCCTTCGGCAGACCGTCATCTTGGGCTTTCTCTTGGACTGTTTCCTCTCTTCGGCCCTGCCGCCCCCCATCTCGAACCTCGCGGGCCTGGCAATCCATGCCCTCTTCATGCTCTTCCGGCGGTTCTCCCGCTAGATGCATGCATGGGGAAGAGCACCCACCGCTGGCCATGGATGCGCGGCTGTGGAGGGGGGTGCCCCGGCCCGGTCCCCCTTGTGCTGTGCGAGCGACCCCCCCCCCCCCCCCAATACACGACGGCGAGTTCGCCAGCTGTCCAAAGCACGAAGGCATAGGCAACCCTCCGGAAAGTGGCCACCCCGCGAGTTGGCTCGGACGCGGGGGCCATGGGTGGGGGAGACATCCGGCCCCTTCCCGCCCGCGCCTCCCGGCCAAACACCTCGCCATCCCTGCACAAGGCGCACCCGCTGAGGCACTCGCCCCCGGGGGAGGGCACATCGCGGCAGTGTGCCTGCGAGCACACACATCCCCCATGCCCTCCCTGCTGGCCCTCTGGGCCCAGGAAAGGGAAGGCCGCCTGCCACCACGGGGTCCGCGCACCCCCCCGGCGTCGGCCTCGGCCTGTGCCGCTGACGAGACGCCCCGTGCGGCCGGGCGGAAGAGACGCCCATGCGTCGGCACTAGGCGCCCTCCCGGAGACGCGCACGTGCATGCGCCGCGCGCGTGGCCATCCCCACGTGCCCGGGAGCCCGGCGAGCGCCGGGGTCAACCGGGGCCGAAATCCGTGTGTCCCGGGGGGGGGGGGGGGGACTGGAGTCCAGAGGGGGGGGGGGGGGGGGGGGGGGGGGGGGGGGGAAGCCGCCCCGGCTCGGGCCGGCTCGCACCACCACCCGGGGGTGCACTGCGCGACCGGCTGGCTGCTTTGTAAGCGTCCCCCGGGCGGGCTTACGTCCGCAGGCTTTCACGCCGGCTGACAACGTGCCCACGATCGGGGCGTCCCAACAATCGCCCGCGCCCGCCATCCGGCGCGGTGTTTCCTGTTGTTTGTTGTTGTTGTTGTTGTTGCCCCCCGGAGTGTGGTGCACAGTGGTTCAGCCGAGCGGGGGCCGGCGTGCCCCGGGGTGGGGGGGGGGGGGGACGCGCCGCCGGCCTCGGGTCCCAGCGGGCGCGGTGGCCGGGACCCGGCGGCATCGGCCCTGGGGGGCGGGCCGCACAGGGCGCGGGCCTCGTCGCCCGATCGGCCAAGCTGGGCACCCGTGGCGATCGGGGGAGAGGGGAGGGTGGGGGGGGACACCCGCCCCCTGTTGGGGAGTGGGTGTTCTATTTTCACTCCTCCACCTCTGGGCAGAGCGGCCATTCCCCCCCCCCCCCCCCTCCGGCACACACACCGCACAAGGCGAACAGAACCTCAGATCCCCGTCCGGAGACCCACTCCGCCCCTCCTGTCATGTCGGCCCGGTGGTGGCGCGGTGTGCCAGAGGATCGGGGTCCGGGTGCCCGCTGTTGTCGGCTCCCCTCCGATGATTGTCCTGCCTCCCGAGATCCAGTGCCGGGCCAAGCCGCTCGCCGCCCCCGTGCCGGCCACCTGCCGCTCACTGTCCGTGCCGGCCACCTGCCGCTCACTGTCCGTGCCGGCCACCCGCCGGCCACCCTCCGCGCCGGCCAGCCATGCCCCCTCTCCACTCCGGCACCGCTCACACTATAAAGGCAACCGGCATGCCGCCTTGACAACCAGGCCGTGAGCATCCTCCTGATTGCTAGTCACTATTCCACCGTGCAGCCCCGCCCCATTCGACACACACACACACACACACACACACACACACACACACACACACACACACACCATGCCCTCACCTTTGACCCCGGAACACCGGTTATCCGACCTCGCCGATGGTGTGCTCGGCCCAGACTCGCCGTCGCCATCGCCGTCACTCTCGCCCGGCCCCCTCGCCAGGCGTAAGAAGCCGTGGTGGAAGTGGCGCACCATGCGCCTGGGCCTGACCCTCGGCCCGTCGTCGGTCATCTTCCTGGCCGAGGTGATAGTCGGGTCCATCACCCGCTCGAATGCCCTGATGGCCGACGCGTTCCACGTCCTGTCCGACATGCTGGGACTGGTCATCGGCATCGCCGCCATCCAGGTGCGCATGCATCCTCCCGCCCCTCCCCCGCCCCTCCTGCCGGCCCCCCTCCCCTTCCGGGCAGGACAATGCATGCTGACCCCCCTCGGCCGCCAGATCGGCAAGCGTGACACCTCCTCCGGCGGATACCGCGCCAAGCGCATCGAGGTGCTCGGCGCCCTGGTCAACGGGGTGTTCGTGCTGGCCCTGTGCCTGTCCATTGTCATGAGCGCTGTCGAGCGCCTTTTCAAGCCTGAAGGTGCGCCGGCCGCGGCAACGGCGGCATGGGCCGCGGCATGCTCGTGCCATTCCGGGGCTCCTGCCCGGCTTCTTGCAGGGCATGTCAACCGAAGCGCGCCCCTAACACTGACCCATCGTCACACGCCCACGCGGACGCACATCCTCGCGTGCACTGCCCCATCTATTTGGACAAACGTGCACATGTGCATCGGTGTACGCGTATGTACACGTACATGCATACGTACACGCATACGTACACGCATACGTACACGCATACGTACACGCATACGTACACGCATACATACATGCATACATACATGCATACGTACACGCATACGTACATGCATACGTACATGAATACGTACACACACCCGCACACGCACACGCACACGCATCCGCACACACACACACACACACACACACACACACACACACACACACACACACACACACACACACACACACAGAAATCGAGAACCCCCAGCTACTGCTCATTACCGGCGCCATCGGCCTCGCGGTCAATGTCATCGGCCTGTTTGTGGTCGGCGACGGAGGCCACGGCCACTCGCACTCGCACTCGCACGGATCCCCCGCCGATACCCCCCTCCTGGAGCTCACGCTCCCCTCGTCCACCGCCCCGGAGACCGAGGACGACGACCTCCATGCCGACCTTCACGAGCAGCAGCAGCAACAGCAGCAGCAGCACGATCACGGCCACAGCCACGGCCACGGCGGGGACCTGAACATTCGCGGTGTCTTCTTGCACATTCTCGGCGACGCCCTCGGCTCGGTGGCCGTCGTCATCAGTGCCCTCATCATCTCCTACACCAACTGGCCGTATGCCATCTACGTGGACCCGGCCCTCAGGTGCGCCGCCGCCACCGCCGCCACCGCCCGGGACGCATACTGCCGCCCGGCCGCCATATCCCCGGCCGTCCACTGACAAGCCCCCGGCACCCTGCTTCACAGTCTCCTGATTGCCCTGATCCTGGCCACACACTCCATCCCCCTGGTTCGCAGCACGGCCGAGATCCTGCTCCTCGACACACCCAAGCGCCTGGACGTGGCCGGCCTGCGGGACGATATCCTGAGCGTGCGCCTCGCCTGCACTTCCGCCCCCATGGCACCCGGCCAGCCTCCCCCCGCCGCCGCCCCCCTGCCCCGGCCCCGCTCTCCGACTGACCCCGCCCCATGCGCAGATTCCCGGCGTGCGTGCCATCCACGAGCTCCACGTGTGGCAGCTCACCAGCGAGCGCGTTGTCAGCTCGGCCCACGTCGGCGTGGCCTCCCTCGACGCGTACACCGACGCCGGGCCCAAGATCCACGCGGCCTTCCACCAGCGTGGCGTCCATTCGGTCACCGTCCAGCCGGAGTTCCTCGGCCACGGACCGCTGGCCGAGCTTCTGCCCCCCACCTCCCCCGGGGCCGTGGTCCTGGACGTGGCCCCGGCTGCCTGCTTCCTGGATTGCTCCTCGCTGGCGGGGACCGACGAGCGCTGCCGAACTGGCGGACTCTCCCGCCGGCGCGTCGGCGCACGCGCTGCCCGTCGTGCCTGCGGCGACCTCGACGCCTCGTCGGACATGGCCCCCTCCGCCACGCCTCCAACCTCCGACCCTTCCCTCGGGCGATCCCGGTCCGCCTCCCTGGCTGTGGCCCCGCCTGGATGAGGCCCCCCCCCCCCCCCCCCCCCGCGCCTGTGCGGCGTTCGGCCAAAAATAAACCCCCCCCCTTGCAGAGCCACCCGCCATGCACGCAAACACGCCAACATGCCCCTGCTCGCGGCCCGCTCCAGCGAAAGAGAGAGGGGGAGCGAGGCCGCAGGCACGCGAGACACACGGGGAAGGACGAGGGGCCTCGCATGGGCAGGCCCCTCCCCGAGCATGGTGCCATCTTGAACCCGGCCCTCCCCGCGCACGCCACCCAGCAATTCCATCCCCACCGGGGGGAGGGCGGGCAACCATCGGCGACGGGGGATATCCCTGACACGGCACCCGCCGGGCCTCCGCCAGGGGCCGGGTCCCGAAACCGCCCCGTCGAGCCCCCCCCCCCCCCTCCGCGGCGCGGCATCGCCCGGCGACATCCGGGGTTGCACCAACCACATTGGAGCTGCCAGCGCAGCAGTGCGCCCGGGTCTCCTTCTTCAGAGCGGCGGCGCGGCGACGCATCGCTGCACTAGCACGCGTGTGTGGAGACATCGCGGAATCCAAGAACGCGTGGCCCCTTCTGCCTGGTGCTCCATGGAAGAGCGCAAAGCCACCCCGAGACACACCCAGCCCCACGCGCGCGGGTGGGTGTGTGTCGCGGCCGGAGCGCGGCACGACCCATGAAAGCCGACAAGTCCGCTCTGGTAGACCCCAGTGCCGGCAGCCCAGCTCCCCCCCCCCCTTTCCCTCGCCCTTTGCTCCATCTTTGCCCTCGTCCCCTTTTTTTTCTCCCAGCTCCTCCTCCCCCCCGCCCATGCGTCCAATCGCACCGTCCCTCGGTCGCGCCTTCCGCAAACTGGCTCCCATGGCCCCGGTGGTCAGGCCGGGCTCGTAGAGGGCCCCACATATGTGCCCCGCCTTTGGGGGCATCTGAATCACCCCGCTCCCCCGGCGCGGCCCGTCATGCCATTTGCATTGTCTCCCGCCCCCGGCCCATGGAGGGGGGAGCTCCGTGGCTCCTGGCCGCGGCGGGGCCGATCCCTCCGGGGGAGGGCGTTCCGCCGTCCGTGCACATGCCGCCAGGTGCCTGTGCGAAGTGGGGGCTCACGTCCTCGACCCCCCTTTGAATCTTGCAGCTTTGCCCAGCACACACGCCGACCAGAGTGAAAGCATCCGACGGAGCCCTTGCACTTGGGCAGCCCCAGTCCGGGGACTCGCCCGGTGGCTGCAGGCCAGGCCCCCGGGGTCGCCTTTGGCCTCAAGGCCGGCTAGCCGATGTCACCCACCCCACCGGCCACTTTTTGGTGCCCTCCCCTCCCTGGACCCCTGCTTGGCGGCGATGGCGCCAACGAGGCCCCGCCCCGGATGTGCGGATCGGCGTCCTCTCCCCCCAGGAGCACGCCTGTCCCGCGGCGCGAGGCGGCACGGCCCCGGCATTCCCCTGTCGTGGTGAGTGGGCCCGGGGGCCCGCGACCTGTCTGTCCGTGGCAGCCCCTCCCTCCGCGCCCCGGCGCCTGGCCAAAGGGACTTCCCTGCGGCATCGGCGGCACGGGTTGCTGGTGGTCTCTGGCCGCGTCGCACCCCAGGAAGGCATCATGGCGGGCGGGGGATGCCACGGCATTCTCGATAGCAGCCGTGCCGCCCGTCGGCACCATCGCGCCCGGACGCCGGGCTCCCGAACCGGCCTTCTGTGGAGCACCAACGTGCACCCTCCCGTGTGGCGACTGCCGTGGACGCTGCAACATCCATGGGACATCGCTCTCATTCACGGCCCGGGCGCCAACACCGGCACGCTCGCTCGGGGGCACCTTGACAGGAAGCCCACACACCGGGCGCCCAATCCCCTCGGCCTGGGTATGCGCCGCCAACCTGGCGGTGCGGGAAGCATGCTCGCCGGCGTGGCACGCGCCCTGGTGCTTGGCGCCGCCGTGAGGAACCAATGCGGCCGCCGGGCTGCCCGCTGGTGCGGGATTCCCCGACAAAGGACCAGACCCGCGCAAAAGGGGCGTCCTGGCCGGCTCCCCGAGGAATGGCCCCGCTCCGAGCAGACCGCTCGCTCGGAGAGTGGGCAGAGCCTGCGTCGGGGGACTGCCCGGGCCGACGCCCGCCGATGGCTTGCTGGATCTCATGCTGGGAGTGTCGCCATGCTGCCGGCCCTGCCACCCATGTTGCATCCGCCCGGCCCGTCCTGAGGCCCCCTGCCTCCGCGGCCCGGAAGAGGGAAAGTTGGTACTTCCATGGTGCGCTCCCCCGAGCACGCCCCCGGCCCACCTGTTTCCCCGGCCTCCACCCTGCTCGATGGGCACATGTCCACATCCCCCCTCCCCCCTCGTCTCCCTTGCTGACCTCGCCCACAGCTTTGCTACGCCCAAGAAGCCCCACCCGGAGACCGGTCGGCCGCTTCCCGCTCATTTGTGCCCGCCCCGGGCCGGTTGGCCCAGGTGCGGCCGCCCTCGCCGAGAACCTCGAAGCCCTGCCCTCATGCCTGGCAGCCGCCAGATGGGGCCAGCATGCGCCGGACCGAGGCCAGCGCCTCGATTTGGGCCCTGATGTCCACCGGCAGCGCCCAGCGCATGGGTCTTCGCCGTGCATTGTGGCATGCCCCGCTGCCAAGCCGCCGGTCGGCGGGCCTACGCCATACCGCAATCGGCCAGTCGGCCCGCTAGGCCGGGGTCCTGCCGGAGCACTTGCCACGAGCACGGCGGCCCCAGCTGCCCGCCCAACATGGGGACGGCCTTCAGCAGGAGCACCTTCCACACTCCCCGCGTGGAGTACCGTCAACACCCCGCCCCCAGGCAGGGGTGGCCCCAGGCACTGACGGCACTACCGGCGTCGTGCCTGCCCTTCCCGTCGGGGACCCGATGCACGGGTTTCCCCCTGGGACTGGCACCACTTCACCGGCTATGGCGCCTGCTCCTCTCGCCACATCCCCTGAGGGCCGGTGCCTGCTTGTCCCGTTCGCCCCGTTGCCTCGGCTGTATGGCCGGCGCGTCGACATGCCTCCTGCACAACGGCGCCTGCTCGGCCTTCCGCCCGGCCGGCCTCTTCGTGCCCAGCCGGACATGCCTCGCCGGCCTCCGGAAGCATGGCCACCCATGCGTGGCCTCCTCCGCATGTGAGCCTGTCGCCTCAAACAGGGCCTGCACTGCTCGCTCGGCCGGCCACACGGCGCGTGGCTGCCCAAGCATCCGCGCCATGGGTCGTGCGTGCCCACCAGCCCGGCTGGTGTCCGGCCTGACAGCCTGTCGGCCGCACGCACCGCCGGCGGCCAGAGCACCCGCGCCGCGCGCTGGCGCTTCCTGCAAGTCGGTGCCGGCCTCTGCCATCCCCGGCTAGCCTGGCAACATGTGCCGCACATCGTGCGCCAACAGACCGGCCCACATACATTGCGAGCCGGGCTCGGTGCTCCCAGGGACAGCTCCTCAAGCCGGCCGCCTGCGCGTGGCAACCTGGCGCCTGGGCGAGCATGTTGGCTCCGACCGGCGCATGTCCTGGGACGGCTTTTGTGCCATGTGTGCCGGCAGGGCCCCCGACGCCTGCCGAATCTCTGCTTCCGGCTATCGCTGGAGCCTCCGGTCCCCGGCATCACAGGCCCCTGCGCCCCCAACAGCCTCCCTGTCTTGCGGAGGGTGTACCGCTTGCATGGTGTCTGTCCTGCGATGCCAGTCTCCTTCCGACCTCCCCGACCGAAGGCATTCCGGTCGGCCAAAAATGGTCCCCGCTGTGTCTTCCCCGGGTAGCTGTCCGCGCGAGAGTCCCCCGGGGGCGTGCTGCGCCAGGGCAGGCGGTGCCAAGTGTGTCGCGTGCGTCAGCGGCCCCGGGGTCCCCTCGGTCGCACCGAGCCCGCACACTGGCACGTATTCCCCTTCTCGCCGAGGGACTCCCACCGGCCTGGCGACATGGCCTGCCTGCCCTGTGGCAAAGCTCGGCCCAAGCGTGACAGCCCTCCCGGCCGAGACTGCCGGCCCCGTCAGGATGGCCGACATGCCCGGCCGCTGCGCCCCCAGGCAAGTGACCCTGGGTGGCCGGGACCTGCCCTGCTTCCTCTCCTGCGATGCCTCCTCCGACATACACACGTCAGCTAGCACGCCGGCGTCTGCTCGAACGACCTGTTCGCCTTTCCGCCAGCGGGCCACCTGATGGACTGGCCATGCCCAGCGCATGGTCCACTGCGCCAGCTGCCCTGGCGGCGTGGTTGCCTACGGCCAGGCGAGTTCGGCCGGCTAATGGTCACCGCGAAATGCGCAGCCGCCTGGCCCGTGCCGCCCTTCGCCTGGGGCGGCGACTTCAGCATCTGCGGTTCAAGTTGTGAACCTTGCTCCGGCTTGGGCCCCGGCGAGCATTGCGCCTGCACGGAGGATGTCCCGCTGCTGGGCGAGCACGGCCGCTCCGCCGCCTGCCTGGTCGACACCTTCCAGAGTGCGGAATTGTGCCTGCACTGTGGCCCACCTGCGCCGAGCTCGCCAGAGCCACCAGCGCGCCCTGTGCCCTCTCTCCCTCCCCTCCCGGGCAGCATGTCGAGGTGGCCGACGACCGTGGCCGGATGTGTGGCAGCTGCTCGGCCCCCTGTGCCAGCTGTGTGACGACTTGGACGGGGATCAGTCCCTCGTCTGTCCGGGAACCCCATGCCTACGAGGCGCAGGCTGCATGCTTGCTCTGTCTGGCCAGGTGCAGCGCCCACGTACACATGCCCGATGACAATCTCGCCTGCTCGGCTTGGTGCACCGCCTGAAAATGCAATCCGCCGCCCTCTCCCCCGATCGAGACTTGCATCCATATACATCCACCAGGCGAGGTCTTGCTTCTGATCCCAGCCGCCGATGCCGCCTATCACCACACCCCTTGCCCTGGAATGTGCCACCTGCCATGGGCATGTCTTCCGATGCACGACCTGCGCCGATGCGGCCTCTTGGCTGGACTTCGGCCCCAGGGTATGCCCGTTGGCTGTCTGGTTTGCCCCCCCCCCCCCCCTTCCGCCGACAGAGCAAGCCCGCTTGGCCCGCTTGAAGCACTGCGAAGCGTGCGCGCTCGCCATCGGCTCTCCACCGTCTGGCGCTCTGCCAGGTGACCCGGTTGGCGCCTCGGCTTCCCCATGCTGCTAGCGATGCAAACTTGTCTACCGACTGCTTGAAAGGTCCTCCGATGTGCTGGCGTGTCCGGCCAGTCGGCTCAGTGGCTGCGAGGCTCCCACAGTCCAACATGCGCCGCCCGTCACTCGGGCTGCGCATGCGCGTGGGCTCGAAGAGGGGTGCCGACAGTGCGCGCGGCCCCCCATCCCCGGTGTGGCCACATCTTGGCGCATGCACTCATCTCTGGCGCCCACGGCTGCCCCTTCACGCGCAGCCCGCATCATCTGCATCAGCCCTGGGTCTTGGCATCGGTCTTGGCGTCCTGCTTTTGTTCCTGGCCGCTTGGCTGCCGGCGTACTTCCGCCCCATGGCGGTCAAGAATACAGTGCGTGATATCCGCGCCAGCCCTCCCCCTCCCCTCGGCCTGGCCAACGTTCCCGACATGCCCCATGCCAGCCGGCAGCAGACCTCCGACTGCGTGCTCCACCCCCAGCTGATGCGCGCCATGCGGCGCGACGCCCCCCCCCCCCCCTCCCACGCTGCCGATGTTCCTCCCCGCAAGTGGCACACCCGAGTGCCTCTTCCCCCCCCCCTTCCCTTTCTCCTCGTTCGAGGCAGGTCGCGCCCCCGGAACCAGGCTCGCACTGGGCCCGCGCATCCACCAGCTACACAGCACGGGGCGCATCTTTCGATTGCCCCATGGGCCCGGCTCGGCGGGCCGGGACCGGCAGGCAGGAGAAGGGCGCCCGCCGTCGGGGGGAGCTCCCCTTGAGGGGCGGCACCCCTGCCCTCCCCCTGCAAAGGACGACCACAGTTTGATCCACGTCTCTGGGATCGCTCTTTTTTGTCCCGGGCCTGTTGTGCCAGCCTGGAGCCCGGTGTGCCAAAAACAGAAACCCCGGATGCATCGTCTCCAGATCCCTCCATCGGCCGCGTCCCCTCCGACGAGGGAAGCCGGAACGCGGTGCCACTGCTGGCGCCATGAGGGTCCCTCAGTCGCTGGCTCCTGCTGTGGCATGCAACAGGCCTACGCTGCTTCGCAGACACACCCATACATGCATACCACGCATTTGCCTCTGTCCCCCCCGGGCCGGAGGCAAGCTCGGTGCCTTGTCTCGACACAAACATGCGCTTGGGCCGTCATGCATCCGCGCGGCTCCCCGCTCGACCACAGGGCCACATACAAAGCAGCGCGAGAGTGCAGAGCACCCCCTATGGTAGATGGCCTCGCGGGTGTCTCCCGGGCTGGTCGCGTCTGCTCTACCGTCCGAAAAAGCGGGCCTCCCGCCCGGGGGACGGAGTGCTAACTCCGCCGGAATGCCGTGCGCCAGGACCGGGCCACGGCACTTCCCTGCGGGCGGCCCTCGCTCAGGCGCGGACAGACAGAACGGCCGCGCGCGGCGGGCCCTCCGCCCTCGTGCGTGCGATCTGCCGCGGACAACCGGTTGATGTGCGCCCCGAAGCATGGGTCGATGATGCGCCGGCCAGTCGGGGGGTGGCCCCTCGGGACTGACGCAGGCCGAGCCCCATGCGTGAGGAATGCCCTTGCCGGCGAGACCAGCCACCGCGCACGGACCAGAAGGCCTGCCGAGCGTCACTGCCGTCTGGCGCCCAGGACCCGGTGCCCATCCGCCGAAACGGGGCCCGCTGGCCCCTTTCCGCCATCCCCGGCGGCGGCTCCCCCCCCACCCTCCACAGGACGCTCCCAACGCCGAGTAGTCCATGGGCGTGATGTGTGGGCGCCGTGATCCAGGTCACGCGGCACTGCCCCTGAGCGTCGGAATAGCCCCCGGTCCCGAAACATATACACTCATTTACCATGTCCCTGTCTGCGTGCGTGCGTGTGTGCGTGTGTGTGTGTGTTGAAATAAATAAACACGGCTTTTTACCGCCTCGCGGCTCTACTCCGGTCCGGTCCCGCGCCCTGGGGCTGGTATTTTGGGGTTGCCGTGTCGCGCGGGCTCGAGCGCCCCCCCCAACCCAGGGGGTCAGGCTGGCATCTGCATCTCGGCCCTTGCGCCCTTTTCCGGGGCAATGTTTTCGTCCGATGCCTGGCATCCTCCCCCCCGCCCCCTGGCACACGACTGGAACCTGACCGGCGAGGGGCGAGGCGCTTGGGGTGCGTGTCCCGGCGCATATGGACTTGCTCCGGAAGGGGAGGCGGCCCGGGTGGGTGGTACTCGCCTCGCGACGAATGGCGCTCCCTCATCGTGGGGTGTGACTTTTGGTACCCATTAGCAGAATCCCCCGGGCGTGGTCATCTCCAAGGTCGGCTGGCTGGCGCAACGGCCGGCGAACACGCGCACACATCCGGCGCCAGGCTGGAGGTGACCTGACCCGGGGCCTGCCTGGCCCGGCGAGCAGCGACCTCCCCCGGGCGTGGGCCCGCCTGGCGGGTTGTGCGCAGCTTGCCGGTGGCGGCGGTGGTGGGCGGGGCAACGCGAGCGCCAGCCCGAGCCCTCGCCGTTGTTTTCTTTTTGCCCTTGGGAGAGGGGGACACCGCCACCGGCCGCAAGCGGACGGGAGAAAAGACCCCCACGAAGGGTGTCCATGCCCCCTTCAGACGCTTCACCCCCCCCCCCCCC